CCCAGGGACCGGCTGCCGGCACTTAAATGATAATGGAAGCCCAGCACTAAACCCCCGTGGCCTTCAGGCCACGCTGGGGACAGTCACGAGGTGGGATATTTTGAAAACATGAGGTCGATGGCAAAGAGCGTGGCTCGGCCCTCCACCCAGACCTCTGGCGCCCTGGCAGCTGTATTTTGGTGACCGAACCTTTTCAGCCTGCAGAGCACGGCACTTCCCAGAAGGTTTGGACCGAAAAGCCATGGAGCAGCAGCCTATTCTCAGCTGTGCAGGGGCCCTCGGCCTGCTGGGGGGCTGGGAGCAGGGCCCTGGTATCTGTTCCCTCTGGGCATCGGGACTGAAATGCGTATGCCCAGACTCACCCCTTCGTGCGGTGCAGCTCACATCCTCCGCCTCCGATCTTCTGGAAATATCGACCGCCACGTATGGGTCCTCTGTTGACCCCAAGCTGGGCGCCAGTCCCAGCTGCCCATGCTCTGGGGGCCCCCATGCCTGTCACCCTGGGAGGTCAGACTCACAGTGCCTGGAGTGCAGGCGAGGAGGATGTACCCCGAGAGTTAACAGGGTTACAGAGCTGATGTGCAGCCCAGGAGCCCCTGCTCTGGCTCTCAAGTCCAGGGTACTGCTTTCGGGCTTCAGGGACTGTGGTTGGCCCTCAAAATGGTGGGGCCTGTCTCTTCATCGTCCTGGGCCTGCTTCCCAGCCCCGAGCAGGGCAGGGGTACCCCAGGGTGGTCAGATCCGACCTGTCCTCATTCCCCTGCAGCTCAGCCCAAGGATCCAGGGTCCCACAGCCGGGCTCATCCCCCAGCGGGGTCGAGGCTCCCCATGCCTGCAGGCTGGGGTCTGGCTGCCTATTCCTGTCCCACCACCTGCCGGGTGGCAAGGCGGAGGGGGTACAGGGGGCAAGGCCCCAGCTATTTTTAGTGCCTTCGGCTCCAAAGCTGCTGTAAACACCATGTCCCAGCCTCTCTCAGTCTAGAAACATCCCCTCCCCGTTGCATGGCCAGGACTGTGGCAGTCACATGTCCCTGCGAGACCTGGAGGAGATTCTGTGACATTTCCTGCAGACGGTCCTCCTGCCACAGAAATCCACCTTGTGTCCCCAGCTCCCTAAGCGAGATCGCCCCAGAGCTGGGTGTCTGGACCAGGCCACACTCGGGGTGGCAGTGCAACACGGCCCAACCCCCGGCCCTGTGCATAAGCCGTGTACGTCCCCAAGCTGCCACCCCTGCCGCCATCAGCTGCTCCACATGGTGCCCAGTGGAGCAGCGCTTGATGGCACCTATTCTGCATGTATACCGTATTGCATTAGCATTTCAGGATTTAGCTAACTAGCCCAGGCAACATCCTGCAGCGCGCATCCCAGGGCCCGGGGGCGGGGGGCACTCTGGTGTGTGGCTGGCTGTCAGCTCCTGTCCCTAAAGCCTCAGTGGCGCCTGTGTGGGGAGGGTACCCCGCATCGTGCTCTGGCTTTCTGCGAGGTCAGAGCTGGCCGGGGCTGATCTCTGTGCCGTGCTCACCGCCCACCCACCGAAGTCTTTCTGGCTAATCATTCTGTTTTCCCAGAGCAGGTGGGGGCAGGGCCTCTCGCTGTCCATTATCTGGCAACGGTGAGACACTGAGCACCCAGGCAGAACATTCCGGGTTTTGCTTGAATTAGCCAGGAAGCAGCAGGGAATGTTTGAGATATGTGAATATCTGTGGCTGTGCAAACCCAGAATCAACAAACAATCGCCAGCAAATCAACAAAAATTATACCAACAATCAACAAGTAATAATACACCGGGAATCCGTCAGTAACAGGAGCATGCCTGAGCGTTCTGGTGCCTCCCAGCTCATTCGCGGCTCTCCCTCAGTCTGCTGGGCGCCACCACGAGCCCAGCCCGGGCCCCTCAAGCCTCCTGCCCTATTCCTGGTGCTCTTTCCAGGGGAGGAAGTCAGAGCTCGGACCGGTCACAGGGCCCACACAAGGGCCCGGAAAACAGAGGGACAGCGAGCACCTGGGCACTGGCAGCTCAACCAGGCGAGGGGCCAGGGAAGCGGGAAGGAGACCCAGACGGAGCCGCCGCAGAGGGCTGAGCCGGTCACTGCTGCGGACTCTCAGGGCTCAGCCGTGAGGACCCCGAGGAGTCTGGGTATTTACCCAGAGACTCTGAGCCAGCTGGTTGAGGATTGCTCCGGCCCCGTCTGCAGGCAGCTGGCCTCGTGGCTTTCCCGGCGTCAGAGAGACCATGGCCCCAGAGGCTGGGATGACTCCTCTCAGCCGGCATGGCCTGAGACAGGACCTATGCCCATCCAGTACCGTCCCCCATGGCTATGCAGAAATCAGGGTACAGGCCAGGGACACCCCCAGAGCCTGGCCCAGGTGACTTCTTCAGACCATATGACCTTGGAAGAGGTGACACGATGTCAAGGTCTGCTCCTACAAAATGCCCCAGAGCATTGGAGGTCAACACAAGCCTCTGCTTTTCAACCACAGCGATGTACCCCAGGACCTCCCAGAAGGGCTCTGCAGCGAGCCTCCTGCCTAGAGCTCAGTCACCCTGAGACCGGGTTTCCTGTGGTCAGGAACGAAGACGTGGTCACAAAGTAAGGCGCCCCGACTTGGGCAAAGCCAGATGGATGGATGGGTGGATGGATGGATGGGGACAGACATCCCAGGGCAGGTCCATCGGGGCCCAGATCGGGGAGAGGAATCCAGGGTTTAGGGGGGCAGGGCTCAAAGCGGGTTCTTGAGAGCAGTCACTGGGGTCACAGGTGAGAGGTCGAGAATGCAGACACGTCCACCTGCGTTTCACGCTGTGTGTGCTTGCTGAGCTGTGTGCCTGTCTTACAACCGGCCGGGGGTGGCGTAACGCCGGGGCGGGGAGGCTGCAGGTGCCTGGGGTCCGCGCAGCCGCACTCGCTCCCGCCTGCACTGCTCTGGAGTTGTGCGAGCCCCTCGAGCTACTTCCCTTCTCTGGGCTTCACAGATGATGGAAGCTCCTCACTGGCGCAGTGATTAGTGAGACGATGGGGGGTCCACCCAGGGCACAGGGGGGGGGAAGCAGCGGAGTGCGGGGGCTACTGCCACCGTCGTAGCTGCCACTAGCAGCGGCAGCGGCTGGACACGCGGCCCTTTCTTCTCAAGATGCTCTGTGCGGCTTCTCTCCCGACCTGTGTTCGGGGCCACAGCTGATCAGCTCCTGTGTCCCCTCCTGGCCTCTTGCCACTCTCCCCGCTTCCTTCTCCGTCACGGTTTGAATCCTGGGAAGGGCCAGCTAAGCACAACCAAGTGCCAGGCCCTCCTTGTGGAGGCTGGGGACAGGTCTGGAGAGGAACATCTGACCTTGTGCAATGCACAACTTGTGCAACTTCACAGGGCTGCCCGCGAACAGCTCTTCCTTGGAGCTCTCTAATGTAGCTGCTCTTCTGACTGCGCTTGGAACCACGTCAGGCCCTGATGGGCTTTCTTCGGGTACCTCTAGATTCCTGTGCGTGTCCTTTAGGCGCCCCCCTTACCCCCACCCCACCAGGTTTCTCCAGGATTTCCTCCATGAGGCTGTGGGCATTTGCTGTGGGCAGTGGAGCGAGGCTCTCCCGCCTGCTGGTGCCACTGAGAGTCGTGTGTGCTGACCGCCAGCGCGGCCCCACCTGCTCAAGGCCTGTCCTCAGGAGGCCTGGGGCGGGAATGTCTGAACGAGTGACCAGGGTCTCCTCGAAAGTCGCCTCTCTGCCATTTCCACACCTGCTCCTGCCTGGCCCATCTCCCAACCCTCAGTGGTGGCACCGTCATCCACCCGGCCACCCAAGTCTCAATCCTGAGCCTCACCTGGTGGGCCAACCCCCTGCCTGGTGCCCAGGCCACCAGAGCTGTTCCTGCCGCCTCTAGGCGTGCCCCAAGGCCAAGCCTTCTGCTTGGTGTCTCACGTGGCTCGCCCAGCTCGGGCCTCAGCACCCGGCCCGGGACCCTGCCTCCCCACTCCACTCCTGCTCACAGACTGTCCTCCACATGGGCCAGCAGGGGGTCCATCCGAAACGCACATGTGACCAGGTCCCCCCTCTTCCATGGCTCCCCTGGGCCCTAAGGTAAACCCCGGCTTCCTAGGCCTTCAGCAGCCCGGCCCCTGCCAGCCCCAGGCTTTTGGAACGGGCCTCCACTGGGCACTGCTGGCCCCGGGCACGAGGGTTATGGGCCACGGAGGTTCACAGAGAGCCCTGTGCTGTGGCCCCCGGTGCCCCGCTGGGGTTGTGTGCGGGCCGAACGGCCTCAGGCAGGTCCCTTCCTGGGCAATGTGTGAACGAGGCCTTCGGGAGGAATGTTCAGGACTCAAGCGAACCAGGAGGGTGCGTGGATGCGGAGGACAAGCACCTGGGCCCCAGACGTGAGAAGAATGAACATCCGATCAGTACAGCTGGCTCGGCTGTCTTGCCTTCCCTCTGCGTCTGTCACCATCACAACGGCCTCAGCCGAAGGCCTCCACTCCTGTCATGAGGGACCTGTGGCCCGGAGAGGCTGGTGGGAGAACTGATAGATGCTGGCCAAGTCCCGGGAGGTGATGAGCTCACCGTCCAGCAAGGCTGATTTTCATCTCCTAAGTATAGACGAAATTGCATTCTTGGAATATACATAAATCCTTATTTTGGGGTTGGCCAATTTGTGCCAACATCTGATGTCGACATGGGGTTTTTTTTTTTTGCCTGTCTGTGTAGCTTCGGGATGGCGGTAGATCGGGAAGGTCGGTCACTTGGCCAATGTCAACATGAACAACACTGGCCTGAGAGAAGGAGAGGATGGGTTTAGAAAGTCCAGGATCTGTGAGTCGACTCCTCCAGCCAGAGCTCACAGAAAAGAGCGGGTGGCCCTGAGAAGTCACTGGAGGACACCCGCCTTTTCATTTATTTTGATAGGTGGGATTTAGTTTTAATAATTTAAGAGAAAACTTCATGAGATATTTTCAAAGAGAAATGAGATCTTAATAATCTCCGCTCTCATTACAGCCCTCAGCTATTAAATCTTTATAAATTTCTGCTGGAAGCTTGAGAGGAGGCTGGTGTGCAGGACTGTGGACTTGGCACGAGCAAATGGAAAGCGGCGGGCTCCAACAAGGCCGAGGCTTCATTTCCCCATCTGGGCCTTAAGTGCAAGGGTGAGGGCTGCTCCCCGGGGTGAAACCGTGGGAGGGAGCAACTCTGACAACCACTGAGAGGGGGGAAACTGAGGCAGGGCTGGAACCAGCTGCTGGAATCCATGAGGCCAATGATTTCCAAGGAGCCCTGGAAACAGCCTTGCACCGAGCTGGCTTACTCTCACTCTTGCTAAAGTTAACCCCACTCTAAACCTGGGGAGTTTTAGTACCTCAGGGGACAGGCCGGGTCTGAGTTTACTACCCCAGGTTAAACCACGCACGTGCACTGCTTTCACTCCCCTGATTCTCACCTCCCTCCTCCAGCGCGCTCTGGCTCGCAGGTGACGGGCCCTGACTCAGCAGGTCTTCGGCCACGGTGCTGCTGCCTGCTAAGAAGAAATGCCCGAGGAGGGCCCCTGGGTGGACCCCTTCTCTCTCCAGATCCCCTGTCCTCACCTCAGAGGCTCCCATTCCCGACCTCCACCACCACCCCGGCTCCCTTGGCTCTCCCCGAGACGCGCCACAGGGGCCTCACCTGCAAACGTCCGAGCTCATCACAGCCAGACCCACTGTCCTCACGCCTCCTGCCCAGGTGCCCAAGCGGGACCATGTGAAGCCTCAGGCTCCACTGCACCTTCTCTCTCCTCCAATATCCAGTTGGTCATCAGACCTGATGGTCATCAGCTCCCGACCAGAGCCTCAGCCCGCCTCAGATGGACGCCAGCCTCCCCGCTGCCGGGTGGAAGCGGGGCCTCTGCTTGCCGCTCCGCATCACTGTCCTCGGCCGTGACCGCCTTGGTCCACACGCCACCTGGAGTTCCTTTCCTGAGGGTGTCCGGGCGTCCTGTCACCCCTCCGTCAGCCACGTCTGCCTGGAGTCCAAAGACAGGATCCAGACCTCCGGGCTGCTCCCTGTGGCCAAGTGCACGACGTCCCGGGGTCGCCCTGCCTCCGCCCATCTCGGGTTCATGCCCAAAGACAGCTGCTCGCTCGAGCCGGGAAGCCCGGCTGGTCTCGGGAGGCAGCTCAACGCCGGCGTCCTTCGGAGACTTTCGGAGCGTCGTGGAAGAAGTGAAGGAACGAATGCATGAATTCTCCCGAAGGGGGACAAGTGGCCCCTGTTCTGGTACCCGCCAGCGTCACGGTGCAGTCACAGCGCGCGGGGGAGAGGAGGCACGTGGACACCATCCGGGCCTCGCCACTGACAACGGGGAAACTGAGGCAGCGGTCGGCACTGTGGGGCACAGCCCTCCTGCGCGCCTCAGGGAGAGGGACGTGGCGGGCGTCCGGACCCCGCGAGTCCGCGTGAGAAGAGCCCGAGGGTCCAGACGTCCCGTCTCGCTCGCCGTCAAGGTAAAGCACACGAGAGAGAGGCCGACCCAAGCTCCCGCTCCTGCTTCCCGGCGGCGACCCCGGAGCCCAGTGCGCGTGCGGCTCCCGGACGCCACGGACCGAGGTGGGAGGCGCTCCGCGCGGGCCGGCTGCGGCGGAGAGGCCGCGAGCTCGGCTTGTAAGCCGCCGTGTGGAAGCCGCCTGCGCCGTCCTCGGGCACCCCGCACCCGCGACCACCCTGTCCGCGCAGCCCGCGCTCTCCTCTTCCCCCAAGGAGCGCGCGCACGCGGCCTGTCCCAGGGCCCTCGGCTCCCCACGGGGGGGCCGCTCTCCAACCCCTCTGCCCTGCCACGCGCTCGGCGTCCCCACACTGCAGCGAAGTGACTGCGCAGGCGCTGGCGGCCACCCGCGGACCCGGCCATCAGCGTCTCCCCTGTGCCTCGAGGGAGGGCTTGCCCAGCAGGCCTCGGTAGCCAGCCGCGCACATCTGATTGGCTCAGACTGGGGCACATGCCCTTGCGAAGCCAATCATTGGCTAGGAGGGCCATCGACTCAGCCAATCAGAGTTTGTCCCCGAGTCACATGGTGGAGCCTGGCCGGCCTCTTGCGCGCGAAGGCTCAGACACGGGAGCGCCACGTGTGTGCTGGCTCCGGCTTGGGGACTCGGGGAGCGGCTCCTGGGGTCCTGGCGGCAGCTCCGAGGCGGTCGCCGGGCCAGAGTCGGGGAACCAGGAAGACAGGGCCGAAGGAGGTCCCCCAGAGGCCCACAGCTCGCAAGTGGGGGAGCTGGGATTCGAACCCGGAGCTTCGCTGGCACCACGCCCGTCCAGGTGTAATTCGCACCGTACGCGGTAGCGCTTGTGTGAAGTGTGCCGTGCGCCGGTTGTTGGTGTGTTCACGAGTTGGTGCAGCCCTCACCGCAGTCCGTTTCAGAACTAGTTCGTTGCCCCAAAAAGAAACCGCTGGTCCGGTAGTGGTCACCGCCCCCCCCCCCCCCCCCGTGTGTCTCCCTCCAGCCCGAGGTCACCACTAACCTGCCTTCTGGCTCTGGCTTTGCCTGTTTGGGACATTCGACCTAACGGGTCCCCACCGAGTGTGGCCTTTGTGTCCGGCTTCTTCCACGGATCGTGACCATTCCAGGATCCACCGTGCTGCGTCTGTATTAGGACACGATAGGACGCTTCCTGCTGTGTGCGGTCACTCCTCAGCTGAGGGATGGGGCTGTTTCTCCCCTTGGGGCCTCATGACGCGGGCTGCTGCGAACATTCCTGAGCAGTTTTTACGGACAGATGTTTCCATTCCTCTAAGATAACCTGGGAATGAAGTTGTGGGGAGAAGGCTTTCCTTGGAGGTGAAAGCACAGACACGTTTAAGGGGTGAGTGGGGCGGGTTAGTGTTCTGAGCGCTGCAGAGGGACTTAGGAAGCTGGGGTCCTGGCTCTTCTGTCTGGCGACTGCAGGACCTTGGCCAGAGGTCTTCTCTGATGCATCTCAGGGACTCGGGTGCTGGAGTAGCGGAGCCCAGCCCGGAGAGGGCACCTGCATACCCACTTCCTTCCTGGGGAAGGAGCCATGGGTTCTCTAGCACTGTACTGGCAAGGGATAGTGGTGTCCCTCCACAGAGGACAGAGAGGCCACAGGACGTGGGCATCTGCCCTGGCCCCTTTGATCCTCAGAGACCGAGAAGCCCAGCCCTCCTGCTGGAAGCAGCCCCCATTTGTTATTTGCGCTTTAACGTCTGCCCGGCTCTACTCCACTTGGACTTGAAAGTGATGCTTAGTTAATTCAAATAAAATAGCCATGTAAAGCTCAGCCAGAAATTTAATTGTATTTACTAAACAGCTAATAAATATTTACTACAAATCTCACTGCTCCATAAAATTGAAGACAGCACCTCCTTCTTGGCTTGCTTTCTTGGCTTCGAGGCAGGGCTGAGGGAGAGAGGGAGGCAGCTGGGAAGGGGAGAGGGAGGGTCCAGCCTGTGTCCCTGTGACAGTGTAAACGTGGTCCCTCGATTGTGTTTCTTGTAACGAGACTGGATCACTCACCAGTTGCTTTGTTCTCAGCTCGATCATTTTACTCAGAAAGTGAGCTCTTGCAGCGGTTCATTTCCGTTGCGATTCCAAACCTGATCTCTGTGATTATATGTGGGAAGCTTACAGAATTTCCCACTGAGATGATTTTTGAATTAACTGAAAATTTAGCAGTTTCATAATTTCTGAATTGTAGATTTTCACCTCCCCTTTTGGTCTTCTAAGTCCATTGCTGTGTCTTTTCAAATCTGAAATTTGCCATAGGCTGAGTCCTCGAAGAAAGATATATACCCTTGACATTTAAAAAAAAAAATTAATGGAAAAGCACTAAATCCCTTCAAATGCTACACTGAAATGTAGTTACAGCTCTTTCTTCATGCCCAGTGAGAATTTAATCATAGCAAAATCTTAACGTTTAATATTGAAATCTTTATCCAAGAGACCCAAAAAGTGTTTTTGCAAGGAGCAGCTTGGTGTCTCCTAAACCTGCTGACACAGTTCCCTGACTGTAATGTGATAACTGGAAAGATGACTCCATGACCCTGACTTTTGCCCAAACCCAAAGTTTGGGGTCCCAGAGGTCAGAGCCCCAAGGGCAAAAATCATGGACTGAGGCAGGGGGCACTGCTCTGGAAGTCCTCAAGGGCCGGTTCCCATTTGCCTCCAGGAACCTCAGGAGGCCCAGAGTTTCTGATTGGGTCAAAGATCTCATTTATGGGGTGAGGGCCTCTGGCTATTTACGACACACTCTTGGTTGATGGCCCTGCAGGTCAGTGTGAGCGGCATACCAGAGGGTCAGGGCCAAGGCCGGACCCAGGAGGAAGTCCCCCTTCTTCTCCATCCATACAAGTATAGAGGGTTAGCAGGCCTTTGGGACCGTTAGATTTCTGTAGCGGGAACTGTCGGTGCTTGTATTCGTAGACTTGCTGTATAACAAGCAACCCTGAAACTGAGTGACTTAACATAATCATCATTAGTTGGCAGTTTGGGCTGGGCTCAGCTGAGTGGGGCTCACTTGGGCTCGCTGCCACGGCTCTGCTGGGACTGATGGTTTTGGGTGGTCAGATAAACGTTTTGGGCAGATGAAGCCTATGGACTGGGGTACCTCGGTTCTCTTCCATGCGGCCCCTTTGGAAGTTGGCTTGAGCTCGTTTCCATGGTCTCAGTGCTATAAGAGAGCATAAACTCCAAAGAAAAGCAGTTTTCAAGCCTTTGCGTGGGTCATGTTTGCTGATGTCCCATCGGCCATGGCCAGGCCTGTGGCCAAGCCCAGGCTTAAGGAGTGAGGAACAGACACCTCCTGATGGAGGGCGTAACAGAAACACACGCACAAGTGCAGCTTACACACTTTGTCTCTGCCGGGGGTCCTCACAGCCAACGGCTGGCTGACGGGTTCAAAGCTCCAAAGAGGCCGCCCTCTTTCTTCAGGGCAGGGCCAGCTGTGGCGTGACTTGTGGTCCTGAGCCCGCTGAGCCCCGGGGTGGGGGGCTTGGCTTTATTGGGCGCTGCCGCCCCCTGCTCGGCCCTTTCCCTCCCTGCCCCACTGCCTCCCCCTCTCCCTGACAGGCTGTTAGAAGAGCGCGCCCTCAACAGACTGCCTCTCCCCAAACCCCTCACGGGCCTGTGTCCGGGAACTCAGTTGTGGATATTGTGTTCTCTCAGGACGGTGCAGTGCTATTTTCTATTCCACTCGTGTCTCTAGAGGGTCCCCTGGACACTCCCTTCTTGTAACCAAGAGGGATGGTGAAAGCGACACTGTGTGACTTCCAGTGGAAGGTTCTGGAAGGTAATACAGCTCCTACCTTGTTGACGGGAAACCTGCTCTTGAAGCCTCTAGCCTGACGGACTGCCCGGAGGCTGCCGTGTGGTGAGAAAGCTCAAACAGCTCCGCCAGCCCCACACCGCGCAGACGTCTCCGTGCTCTGATGGCACCCGGCGGAGAGACCCTCCCTAGCCACAGCTTTCCCGAATTCCTGACCCCCAGAAGCCTTGAGAGATACTAAATGCTTGTTGTTGTGGTCTAAGCCACCAAGTGTCGGTCTCATTGGTGGGGCAGTAATTGGGACCGTGCACGGATCTTAGACAATGTCCATCTCCCCGTTACCATGGAGAACGGAAGAAGGAGCTTCCTGAGGACTCGAAACCCTGTGCAAACCGCTGGCCCCTGTTCTGTGTGCACGTGTTAAATCTGTGTGTGTGTGTGTGTGTGTGTGTGTGTGTGTGTGCACGTGTGCACGCACACGAACCCACATCTGCCCCCTCAGTCCCATCTCTCTCTCCACTCCCAGAGCCTCTCAAAGTGCCTGGCTCACAGCGGTATCGTGTTAGCGGAAGTTCTGATACACTGGGACCCTCATGTTTGTAGCCAGACAGATCTTCCTTGTTCTCCAGCAAGCCATCCTGCCCCTCTAACCTCTCTTCTATTAGAGAGTCCAGGAGAGAAACTTCCAGAGCAGTAAGTCTCTTTGTGGTTGCCCAGTCGGAGGGACAGTGGCAGGCCGGTTAAAGTTCTTTCTTCTTTGCTGGGAACTCTGGAAGTGTGCGCCTTTTCAAAGGAACCAAACTGTCTGGGCTTCCTCTCAGACTTCCCTCTGCATCTCCAGCCTTTTGGAACAAGTCCCCAGTCTCAGGAATGTGGTTCTGCAAGATGAGCTGGAGTTTTCAAGGACTGGGAGAGCAGGAGAAGGCCAGGAAGGAGGGGATTCCTGGAGGCAGAGCTCTGGGATTTAAGACACAGTTTAGAGGCGTTGGCATTGATCTCCAGCCCACAAAGGTTGCCTACTTATCAGGCTTTGCTTAGCAGCTGGGGTGCTAGAGGACGAGCAGTAGGGAGCACGACACACTCCCTCCCCAGGAGGCTGAGGATGGTAGGTAGGGGACGATGCGGGGAGAGAGGTGGGCAGAGGAGTGATGGGGGAATGGGGAGTGGCAGGCATGGGGGGAGACACCTTAGTGGTTACAGGGACACACACAGGACAGGATGTAAGGGAAGTGGGGAGGGCACGGTGGGAAGAGAGTGGTGGCAGGGGAAGGCGGAGAGGATGGTGACAGGAATGGTGGGAGGGAATAGTGGGTGGCAAGGAACGGCGTGGGGGGAAATGACAGCATTTTTGAAAGGATCCTAACTTTGACGCATAGAACTGGAT